TCACAACAGTTGTCATATCAAATACACATGTAATGTCCAAGTACACAATGTTCCATCTATCACTCACAGCAGCCTTTCTGGTTATAGAAATATTTAAAGTTGTTTTAAAGTTTTAAAAACTTTGTTAAAAATTAAAATACATAAACCATACGGTTCGTGTCAATAACCCCTGTCGTCTCTCTTCAAGGTGGCCGATGTTGTGCCTCCTATGTAACTTGATTAGGGAGATTCTTAATATTGTCCGTTATGATTTCTATAACCAGAAAGGCTGCTATGAGTGATAGATGGAACATTGTGTACTTGGACATTACATGTGTATTTGATATGACAACTGTTGTGATAGTGGTTTCTAAAAGAGAGACTGCAGTACAAGAGATCTAAAAGTATTTATTGCTAGTAGCGAAAAAAGCCTTTTGAGGGGGGGCGAGGGGCGAGCACTCAAAATAGTTTCTAAGGTAGCATACCTTCTTACCGATTCTGCTCTCGGCCCTGGAGGTCATTTTTAATTTAGTTATATAAGCTGAACATAGATGGCAGCAGAGGTGTCATGGCGACCATGTTGCCAACCAATAACAGGGGAGTTTCACGGGGATGTGTCAGCCGTCAGCGCCGTCAGAGTGCCAGTAGTTCCTGTGATTTTATTTGAGGTGTTTTATGGCTGTTGTCTACTGTTATTTTGTGGTTATATTGCCGTCAGCTGTTTTAACTAATAATTAATACCGCCGAAAATGGCATCCAGCAGCGAGGTGCTGGAGGGCACAATAAAATCGAAAAGACCTTCTGGTAAGATATTTACCTTATATCATAAAATTGATACATGAATACAACTAGTTTATTTTTGTCTTTTGTCATATTTATATATTTAGAAGATCAGATTTTACAGTGCTGCGTGAGATGCTAATATTTTATGGCTCTGAAGACCTGTATTTACAAATTATTTATATCACATCTTCATTTTATTTCCAGGTATGAAGTTTTTTTTTTAATTTTTGGTTGTAGTGCAGTAAAGAAATGTGTAATAGATTTTCAAATTTAACTTTTATTTCCACTGTAAGAAATACTACACAAAAATACGTTCTAGCAAAAATGTGTTAAAAATCAATATTGCAGTTAAGTGCATTCATCATAAACCTTATTGTACTTGGGTCTGTATGTATCTCCAGTGTCATGGATGTAAATGTGGGTTACTGCTAACAGTTTTAGAAGTCTGTGAGAGAATTGTAAGAATCCCTTATACAGATTAATTTATTTTATAGTCGCATTCGTTCTGTAGGGTTTATGGTTATTATGGAGAGTATTATTGGAATTCGTGTGTAGGATCTGAAAATTATTAAAGGCAATGTAGAATGTGAGGTTCTCACAGTGGTGGTTACAAGGACTAGTATCTTCTGAGATACAGTGTCAGTTGACTTTCAACAAACTACATGGTGTTATATCCCAAAAGAAAATCATCATATGGAGGTGAGTTAATATTTTGACATCCTGACATATTGTTATTGCTTAAAGAACTGAGTGTAGAGGTTGTTAAAATTGTATACTTATCATTTTTATATATTTTAGCCTACTTTCCAGATTTTATAAAGATAAGAGTTGGCCTTTGAGATCACCTTTGTGCTCTGTGTGTATAACCCTCCTATTGTTGCAGACAGTTGCTCAGTTGTTGCTAAGGCAGTGTCTTAGTAAACATGGTCCCATGGCAGCAAATGCACACCTAACAGTAAAAGAATTGTTGAATGTGTCATTTTCTGTGTGATCCATGTCATGTCAAGGAAAGCAGACAGTTATTTCTTCCCAGAACTTCGTGTTTTATTTAATTCATTCATTCATCGGTAATCTGTCATACGACAGGTCCACAGTCTCTTCCAAAACAGTTCCTCCACTTAATGCGATCTCAAGCTTTCTCCTTCAGTTAAAATATCTTCTTCGGTCTTCTTCCTCGTCTTTTGGGCACTTCTATCTGCCCCTCCAGTTTGTTTGTCTCCAGATGAAACATCTCGCATACATGGTATCTCTGTTTTTGGAAAGAGACTATCCAGGAAAAGTGATAATGTGGTAGTTTTTCCATTTGCTTTCCACATCGCAGTACAACAGCCGTTCAAACCACTCTGGTCACGCCTCTTGCTATACGAACTTGAACCATCTCGAGCATCATTTGCTCTGTGCTTCAAGTCGCTGCTGATATCCTTCAATAAATCTGAAGCTTTTGGAATAAAATTCTGAAAGCATTGTCAACCAGCCTTTGAGTGTTACTTTATTTATCATTAAAATTTTTGTTCTGAACAGCATTCGTAGCCAGAACCAGTGTAAGGCCTACTCATATTTCTTGGATTGAAATGTTTAATCTGCTGTAATCATGTAAGATGTCAGATAGTTTCTTTCCCAGAAGTTGCTTGTCCTCTAGAATTGCAAATGTTCTTCGTTCCTTTCCCATATTTCAGTTGGCAATTACTGTGCTGTCAGTATTTCTCCTGTATAATCTGTTGTACACATACAGATTTGCAGTTCACACCAAATAACACTAAGAGTACAAGAGGAAATGTTTTTGCACAGTTTAAAAATAGAGATCCACTGTTAGCTGCAACTTCTATCACAATCATTCTGAATAGGATGCAAAAGCAACTAGAAAAATTTCAGTCTCAAATAATCATTGGCTGTTTTCTCCCGGTCTTCTTTTTTGGGGTGTTGGGAGGCATTAGAATGGTGTTTGATAATATGATGAGCTGTAGTATTGCTTCGCTGGTCATAGTGGCCACATGGTCTAAGGCATAAACTGTCTTCGCTCACTCAAATGCTGGGATCATGGGTTCAAATTTCATTCAAAGCGTGGATGGTTTTGTGTGTGTGTTTATTCTGTGTTTGTGTTGTCCTGTGTGTAGGTGACAGGCTGATCACTCATCCAAGGAGTCCTACCATTTGTGTGGATAAGATTATGAAACTGAAGTGGAGACCAGGGTCCAACAAAGGGCTGTAGACCCATTGATTAATGAAAATGAAATATTATTGCTTCACACATTTCTTTGACTTTATAATGTGTTTTGGAATGTTCAGGATTGTTAGTTTATGAAATTAATCTCCAGTTTTCAGGAATGATAAAAATATTAAATGTTATAATTCATAACAGTCTGTCATGGTTAGTGACTTGTGCAGTTAAACTGTGCCGATGTTGTCACTCTTATTACTGTAATTTATTATACCTTATGGTTCATAAGATTTGAATGTAAACAGTGAGTAGTGTCCCTCAGAAGTGAATACAAAAAACACTTCAAAAGTTGAAAACCCAAAGCAAAGAGAGTGGGTCAGGTAGGGCAAAATGGAAATTCAAACACCAATTGGATTTATTGAAGCCATCTGTGAAGCACAAGGCTTGTTTAACGGCCAACTTTCATGATACTTTTGGAGAGGATGGTGAAAGTTGTGGTGATGATGTTGAAGGAAGTCATGAATGTACTGGTTGTGATGAAATGAATGTTGGAAACGCCAAAAACCATATAAGGTGGCTGGATCAGGTCTAACGAAATACATTTTGGAACAAAAACTAAGGACAAAATATGTGCCTGGAATCAAAAGAACATTTCCTATGATGTAATTTCAGCAGCACACAGATCATTTATGACCACAGGTCAGCACATTTTTTGTTTCATTAGTGATGTGGATGGAGTTACCTGAATCCACAACCAGAACCCTCATTTGGAGCTGAATCCACATTCTGTGTACCACAATAACAAATCAGTCTGTAAAATTTGATTTAGCCCCACTCAGCCCAGCTTGCCTGTTACCTTTCTTAAATATGAACTAATTAAATGCTTATGACCATACTGTTACCTAACCAAGTAATGTCATTGAAGCCATAAACAAGTGTTCAGGATCATTACTGTCAACTACTGTCCACAGCAGCCATTGTTATAGTTCTATGAAACAATTACTGTGAATATTTTTTTTTCTGATTTAATATGTTGAATGAATGAATGTATAAGGGGTGGGCCTTTTTGGCCCTTGCACCGCGACCACAGTGATCTATTGTGCCTCCCCTTCTGATTATCCCCTCAACAATCCTGCACTTCGAGTGAAGCGCAGGATTTTGTATGTAGGGATGTCGAAATACACTTGGTTCCATAAAATATTGACCCAAGTGACACAGTCTTAAATAAGCTAAGGCCTCACATTTGCACAGGATATGTGTGGCTGTATCATTTTCTTCTTGACACCTCTCACAAGTGGGACTATCACTTTGTCCCAGTTTGAAGAGGTGTCCTTTGCAGTGACAGTATCCTGTAAGTAGTCCTACTGCCCATCATAGCTGGTTCTGTTTAACTTCAACAGTTCCTCCGCTCTTTTATTAGAGGGTCCTCGTATGAGTCCCTCTGCTTGCCTGGGTCCAGTTAAGGATCCCCAGTATTTCTTGTGATTCATATTTGTGCAGTCCATGATTGCCTTTCTTTTCTTCTTGCCATGCTTTTTGACCTTTTATGCTTGTTCTTTATCTCCTCTTCGTCCAAAAGTGGTGCAGATACTGCCAAATCATTATTCATAATATTTTTGAACAATAAGATGTGAGAAATTCCTGTAGAATTTTGGTTGGAAAAGCTGGAGGGAAGAGACCTCTTGGGAAACCTAGGCATTTATAGGATTTCCCCCTTCTGTATAAATAACTCTTTCCCAACTTGGCTATATCGTGCCCCAAAAATGGAGTTAGTATATTCCTTCAGAGCAGTGGTACCCAATTACCACACTACACCATGTCATAAATCAGAAGACAACAACATATCTTCACTGCTGTGAAAACCTCAAATCTTATATGGGGAAACTTGTTTTTGTATTTTGGTTTTGTGGGAAATTATGAAATCTTAGAGAAGTTTCATGGCTTCAAGTCCCGATTTACTCTGTATCTCTGATAGTTCATCAGAAAGAGGAAAATTTTTTACTTAGAACTAACGATATTAGAGCATAAATTATAGATAAACTGCAGTTTTTAAGACTTTAAAATGTGATCATTCAGAACCTGTAATACACCACGCTCTTGGAGTTGCTTTATTCCTTGTTACTAATTCCGTTTCACAGTCATTTTTTAAAGGAGAATGTCAGAAAATTTGAAGGGGTGAACCATCCGGAAGACCTGGGTGTAAATATTAGGGTAATTTTTAAAGATGCTGGTTTTGAGGATGTGGATTAGATTCATCTGGCTCAGATTGGGGTCCAGTGGTGGACAGTTACAAATACAGAAATGAACCTTTATGTTCTATAAAATGTGGAGAATTTCTTGAACAGCTGAGTGACTGTTAGCTTCTCAGGAAAGACTGCCCCATTGAGTTAGAAACACTTGATGGTATAAATGATCTTTGTTTAATATTTACCAGTGAAATTTCATTATATGTGCAGACAGTGCATTCAAGCAGCAGCGGTTACCAGCATGGCAGCCAATCTTGACAGCTGGCACTGTTTTACCTACATTTTTTGTGATTGGCATTGCATTCATTCCTGTTGGCATAGGTCTGCTATATTTTTCTGATGAGGTAAGTTAGCACTATTGTGTCTTTTATATAAGAGATGGCCAAGCGGTTACACAGAAACTACAAGTAATGAAATCTGACATAAGCTTTATTCTGAAATCCAGCTACAGTTAATCCAGATGCTGGATAATCTGGATCAAAATATGAAAAATTAAAAATTATGTTCGCAGTTGAGTACATACTTTAAAAGGCACATAAGATATAGGAGAAAGAGAACTTCCATACTGTGTTGAGTGCAGCTACAGAGACTGAAACCATGAAAGTAAATATCAAAGATTGGCTTGAGCTGGAAGAAGATCCTGGGTTTCAACTTCTGACATCAAAACTACCTTACTTACTCACTCACTCATGGAGCTGGGCCCTTCTTGAGGAGCTGCCAATTCTGCAGCTACTCAAGAATTTCCCAGCATTTTATAGAACCCGAAGGTTCATCACTGTTTTCACAAGAGCCCTCCACTGGTCCATATCCTGATCCAAATCAATCCAATCCATACCATCCCATACTATCTCTCTAAGATCCATTTTAATATTGTCCATCCACCTATGCCTTGGTCTTCCCAGTGGTCTCTTTCCTTCTTGCTTTCCTACCAATATCCTATACACATTCCTCTTCTCTCCCATTCATGTTATATGCCCTGCCAATCTCATCCTCCTTGACTTGATCATTCTAATTATACTTGGAGAAGAGTACGAATTATGAAGCTCCTCATTATGCAGTTTTCTCCAACCTCCTGTCACTTCATCTCTCTTTGGTCCAAATAGTCTCCTCAATACCCTGTTCTCAAACACCCTCAGTCTATGTTCCTCCCTTAATGTCACAGACCAAGTTTCACAGCCATACAGAACCACAGGCAAAATTATAGTTTTTTATATTCTAATTTTTATGTTTTTGGACAGCAGAGGAGAAGACAAAAGGTTCTGGACTGAATGGTAGCAAGCATTACCCAAGTTCAATCTCGTCTTAATTTCCTCCTGAATCGGGTTTAGATTTATCATTGTTCCCTAATGTCTGAACTGTGCCGCATTTTCAAAAGATCTGTTTCCTATCTATGTCATGATTTTGCCCTGCATTTTGATGACGAGACAGCACTACCTACATTTTTAAATTTTCCATTTGTTTGTTTCCTAGTAAGTCATTTGTCATTTAGGGCTATCATTTGCTTCATTAATCTGCATGATCTCTCCCCCAGTTAATCTGGATTAGTGAGGGCGTACTGTATATGGTTGATATACAAATGATATAGATTCCTTATTCTTATTCTTTATTTTAAATTCAATAAATCCTTCCTGGCCAAGCCTAGGATGTAGAACAAGTCACTATTAAATCAAAACATACACAAGAACAGTTCATAAAATAGAGCTCAGTCACATACAGAACAGTCTTAAAACAAAATTATACGTAGTGATAATCATACCACAAAAAAGTGGAAATTGTTCAAGTTATAATTGAATTACAACTTGTAAAAGCTAACACAACACAACCATAACATATACATTTCACAAAATTTCAAAATTAAGGTATACTAAAAGTTTAATTAATGAATACAAATATAAAATATGGTAATTAGATATATCTTATGAGATAAAATAAGTTAAGAGATGTTATAGATATTTTCGGTCCTAGTACAGTTACTTATTAATACAGACAATCAGCTGAGCACCTCAAATCCAGTAAATGTACACCCATCAGGCAAGATGACAGAAAAGACAAAGGTTAAAACAACATAATAAGTTATACATTAAAAACCGTACAGAAAGTATCAAGATTATCGTCTTTGTCATCCATGTATTGAAAATATTAATATATAGAATATGAAGGATGATGATAAAAAAACCTCTTCAATATCGATTTGAAACACCTCTCATCATTGGCCAAATTTTTTATTGATTGAGGAAGATGACAGAAAACTTTAATTCCTGATATATATGCTCCTTTGTGAAATATTTTTATATTCACTATAGGTACATGTAAGTTACTGTGTAATCTAGTGTTATATTTATAAATATTTATTATTAACTGTATATAATAGTAAGGAATATATATACTGGGGATATAACGTCATTATTTCCAATTTCATAAAAATTTCCATATATGCATCTCTTGGTTTTGCTTTCGTTATATTTTTAATGATTCTCTTTTGCAAAATAGACACCTTAGCATAAGAGGAGCCACCCCAGAAGATTATCCCATAACTCATAATAGAGTGTACATGAGCAAAATGTACATGCCGTACATGAGCCGTAAAGTTTAAAATGATACTATATATTTTATATTTCTAAGTGCAAAATATGCAGAGGAAATTTTATTGGTGACCATATCTATATGCTGTTTCCAAGACAGCATATCATCAATAATCAAACCAAGAAATTTAGCTTCCAATACATTGGAGATAAATGTCTGATCATCTACATAAATAAAATGGGTAGAAATGTTACGATGTTTTATTAGTTGCTTGCACAAAATTCATAGATGGCAATTCATAGTAACCAACTAATTCATTTCTTTTTTCTAAAATAAGTCAAAACATGTTCTAATCAGTTATTCATTATCATCAGATAAAACAGCACTTTCAGAAACAAACACTCCAAATAGATATTACACTTGTATGGGAAATTTAACCAGTGTCACCTTCACCAAAGATGAAATGAAACTTCTGCACAATGGTCTAAAATACAGTATGCACTTTAAACCCAGAAATTGGGTAGATTTTGTGATTGAACAATTAGAGGAAATAGAATAAGCATATAGAAGACAATTAATAGCTTATATCACTCAATAATTAAGAAAGAAACAAAACGAGAAAAGATAGGTACCTCAAGGCATGTCCACATTACTCGTGCTCGTGCTCGCCAGACTTGTGCTTGTCAGGAGACTTGTCTGGCTTTTACTTGTGCTTATAAATCTTCATCCACACTACTTCAGTTGCTCTCCAGGCTTCGGCGTGTGAGGATCCGTATATTTACTTGTAGTGTGTATAGGCTGTAGTCGTGTTTTAATTTATTGGCTATAGTTTTTAAATTAAAAATTAAAAATTTGCTTGTCTCATGACTTGTCATATCGTCCACATTACTCGCGAGCATAGCGAGTCACACAAGCATAGCACAAGTAATGTGGACGCACCTTTACAGTGACAATGAAATCTGAAATACAAGAGAATAATCTTATACATAAAAAGAAAAATAAAATAACCCCAAATCAATTAGCCACAACAAACGCAGACAAAGGAAACAACCTAGTTATACCATACAAAAAATACTACAAGCAAGAAATTGAAGAATTTATCAAAATAAGTAATTTCACGTCGCTAGCATGATATTACCAGTAAACAGGAAAAGATAATGAGGCAAATTATATAATTAACAGATGGCTGATTGGAAATACATAAACCTAAACCCTGGTGCACTACACATACATTTGCCACAATTGAATCACACAAAATTAATAAGGCATACATAAGATCCGTTAGAAGAATGGTGCAAAGTATGATTTAGCAACATTTCTAAGATCCTTCCTTAAAAATATAATGCAGTTACCAGACAGATACAGTGTGCAGAATTCTGTTAACCCCTTGCATAATCTAAAATAACAGGTACTCCATGTTATCTACAAGATCAAAGAATGTGATTTTATTTTAATGAGATGAACTAATTTACACCAATTTAACTACATAGTGCTTGCTTGAATGCAAACTGCTTGCTAACCAGTTGAGAGAGAGAGGGAGAAAGGTGAATAGATTATTATATGGGTTTGTAGAGGAGGAGTGCGAGGGGAGAATGGAAAATATAATTGATTTTTGTGTTTTCACTCTCTGTGACCTTTTTTGGAACAACATGGAGTACCTGAAATTGACATGAATGTAAACATAAAACTTTCTCTGACATTGAAAACATGTACACGGATATATCTCTTGCTAGTAGGAACCCAGAAAATAAATAAAAATGACAAATTATGAAGAAGACCTACTTACACATAACAGTGATAGGTATATAACCATACTGGCAATCTGTATCATAACGTCCTTCAGTTTCATATAGTAAAAATGAGTTGGAACACATTAAAATCTTTAAAATATGTATGGTGTGCAGTGTAAAACTCCTGAAATTCAGATGATGTGAAGAGAAACCAACAACAGATGAATGATGTTTTGACCTATTTCCAGCTAGATGCTTTCTTAAAATTCTTTTAAGGATCCCATGTCTATGGCTATACTTTACCATATTGGCAGCCCTTATGTGAGCTTCACATTGTATAGTCTTGTACTACTGGTAGGCCACAAGGCAAGATCTGAAACACAGACAGATTTATTGCACTATAAATTATTTGAGAAAAATCATCAGAGGAATCGGTAGAACTTAAAAAATAATGTGATGAAAATGAGATAACATCAGTGTAATTGGTATGCATCGACTGCTAATATCCTTGCAAATGCATAATTCCAGACAAATAGTCACACACTTTGTAGCCAGCCATAAACAATAATGTTGTCTATATGCTGTGAGTGAAAGTGGATATTTGACAAATTGACTGTATTCTTCAGACTTTGTATTCACTGTCCGTGCTTTATTTGCAGTTTAATTTAGTCATTTTTGTACCCCATTATAGAAGTAGTGTCATATCTATATGTAATAAGGGGGGAAGCAGAAATATATATACTATAATTTACCTAAAACAATATATAATTTTGAAGTAAGTAATTAGTGCCCTTGTGTTTTGTGCCTTGGTTATCTCATGCTTTATCCTTACCAATAGACAGCTGTTATAAAGGCAATCTTGAGATACGGAAGTTATAAAACAGTACTGCAGCGAATCCAACTGTTCACACTGTGGGACTGTCGTATGAATGAACTTATTTTATAGTTCTTTTAAAGTGCCAAGCCATAACAGAAGTTTGGTACATGGGACAAATTTGTGTTAGGGTGGCGACTGACTTGTAACATTTGCCTCTATTGTAACTTGTTATAAATTGAGCATTACACGCGCTCCATCGTGTTGTTGGTTTTTTCGCAAATCCCTTTGAGTGCTACATTACAAGTCAGGCAGTCAGTCAAGCGGTGTCATAACGAGCATTCATGTCCGACATGTGTTTTCCACTGTTTTTATTTCTGTTTTTGTACAAGTTTGTTATCCAAATGCATTTTCTTCTCTTCTTTAAATAACAGTAGCGTATTAAAAGGAACACAGATAACACAACCTCCATGTCTGACATATTGAATGAAATGAAGTGGAGCACACGCGAGCACAGTTGAGCTGAGGGTTCGATGTACCTCACCAGTTGTGGTGTAATGTAAGATGCTCGCCGCGAATGTTACATTACAGGCAAATGTTACAAGTCAGTCACCACCCTTATGTTTTAAGTTTCATGTTGTAGCATACCATGGGTTATAAAGTGACATTGTTTATATCAAATGTCATTTTTATTGCTCTGACTATGAAGAATGGAAGCTGTGTGTAACAAACACCTTTATGATATAGAGCAGTGTGTTTGATCAGAATGTGTACACACACACACACACATTATGAAAGTTTGTGTTTTATTATCAGGAGCAGCTAGTGTCAGAATGGAAGAATGTGTTGTTTTTTTCTTTTGTGTAATTTTTATTTTATTGTATGATTAGATGATGATGGGTCCACAGGTTGCATGTTTCTCATTCACTTATTGCATTGCTACAGGTAAAGGAGGTGACAGTTGACTACACAGACTGTAAGAATCAGAATGATGTACGGTGTAGTGAAGTGATCAGCCAGAACAAAGACGCAGTTTGCAATTGTACAATACCATTTGAGCTGCAACAAGACTTCACGGTAGGTATTGTGGACAATGGTGCTGGTGCTGAAGTGTGATTTGGAGAGGTCTGAGGAGGAATCTGACATTATACCAACCTATTAGATAAATAGTATAATTGTGGAATCATTTTTACTGTCAGAATATGTTACTTGAAAATATAAATGCGTGTAGATACTGAAAGTTTAAGAAGAAGAAGGCCACATGAACATAGACACCAGTAATTTTTATTTTTTTACGGTATGGTTTTCCTCTTGGCAGTCAGTAATGTCATGACTCATTGGTCTCATATGTGCAGGTGTATTTTTCCTAATGTACTCATTTATGTACAGAAATGAGAATATTGTAACTTCCTTTTGTATTCTGTATGTTTTGTGTAGGGTAAAGTATACATGTACTATGGACTGACAAACTTCTACCAGAACCATCGACGATACGTCAAATCACGTGATGATAACCAGTTGCTTGGACGCCTTGATAGTGAACCATCTTCAGATTGTGCACCATTTGATGTAAATGATAAGAGGGAACCTATTGCACCATGTGGAGCGATAGCCAACTCTTTATTCAGTGGTGTGTTTCATATCTTCAGTTTTATACAATTTGTTGCTGCTAAGCATTGATGAATTGTTAAGCTGGATGAGTTGAACGTCAGCAGTAACTAATGTCTGAAGAAAACTTATCATATAACCCATTTATTTTAATTTAAAATATTAAATTTTGTATTCAAAATATACAACCTTTTAGCCTTGACTCATGAAGATATTATTTCTTAACTTTGTCAGTTAATTATTTACTTTTTATGATAAGATAATAGTAATACTTTAATAAAAAAATGTATAATGTTTAATCTTAATCAGTCGTATACGAATAATACTTTATGGTTGTTGTAAAGTTATCCATATGCTTCATTAAGCACCATGCCATGCACTCCACACCTCAGCATTAATTAGAGAGCTTCATGCCTTGAGTACTGTATCCCTGTGGAAAGAGCTGATGCTGTGTATTCAATAGGAGGGCAAATGGGTCAGTTTGGACACTGTGCCAAAGGAAGAATCCTTACCCTTACCAGGAATTTAACCCTGGTCGTCTACATCATAGCCTAGTCACTACACTGACTGAGCTGTCCCAGTTCCATTTGTAGCAGGGAGAATTCATGAAAATATTCCAACAGAAAGTACAATTCATTTGATAAATTTTCTTCAGATTCTTGTTGGCAGCAAAATATCTGAAGTTCAAAGAAGAATACAACATGCACAAGATTTCAAATGGTTGCAAGGTATATGTATGTCCTAATAAATAGAAATAATTACATTTTGGATAAGGTGAACTAAATGGCAGGAAAACAGTTTCAGTTATAGTCATAGGCTGATAGAAACAGAAGACGGAAGAAAATATTTAGATAGAATTAGTAATTTGAAGAGGAGGAGAATGGGATCTAATGGCAAAAATTTTTCTGTTCCATCCACTGTAATAAATGACTCTGCAATAATCCAACATTTCCTCACATTATGGCTAAATTCTATTACAAACACTTGTTGAACCATATTAATTCAATTATTCATAATCCTATTTCAGTTTCTGATGAAATTGTGGAAAATTATCTGGAAGTAATGTATTCTTATCTGTATGAAATAATATCAGGTAAATAGTATACTAAATATTGTATGTAAAGATCCTGTTCAGGTTGAGAAGCAGATTATTGGAAAGTACTATGGGGGATACATGTATTCTATATGGTTTGGAATGTATGCATAAAAACAAAAATTTATTTTAAATCTGGAAATGTTCTCAAGACAGAAACTACTTTTGGGGAGGGTAGATTTCATATTGTGACATGTCAATGCATTGCCAGGCAACAGCTCAATAAACACCCCACAATACTCGCAAGCAACAGTAGGATGACTGTTTATAGCTTGTTGCTAGGCAACAGCATGCCAATGGACTGGCGAGATAGCTATCACGTAACTTGTTTTCTGTGTCCTCTTCAGTATGCAACAGTAGAACTGTGTTTTCTGCATTGTCTGTGCCGTGGTTATATAACATGCATCCACTTGCATCTAGGGAGAGTCCAGGAGGGTTTAGCGGTTGAGAGTACAAGGACAGGAATGGAGCATGTCTTTAATGAATTATGGAGATTATTTGAGTACAGATTAGGACAGAGAAATACAGAGTGATTGAAGACAAAATAATAAGACTTCATAGAGATTTAAAGCGCTAGTTTCTGTGTTGAGATCCGTTGCTAGGAGGCAACTACTGAAGATGGAGAATCCTAGTTCATGTGCAATGGTGAACTGTAAATTATGTAAATCAGCAGTAGTGCTGTATTGAGTGTAGTTAGGAGAACTTGTAACTGAAGTGTTAATAAATCCAATCATCTTAACTAGAATCGTCATTTTCGTCACAGGTACCATCATACATGTGACATTTTGGTGTCAGAAGTTGGTGGTTCGGATCATATTTGATTCTTCAGCAGTGGTTACGACCACAAATATGTGACAATTTGGTGTCAGTAGTCACACAGCCATAAGCTCATGACAACTGAAAACTGTGGAAGAAGTTATATTGCATCGGATTGAGGATTGAATTGATTAGTTAAACCGCAAAAATGGAACCAGTGAGGCGATAAATAATTGTTAATATTTCCATCCTGTTGCGTGAGTATAACTAATAATACAGATTCCACCATCAACACAACTATAATTTATTAACTTATGTTCCACTACATGTTTTGACCATTTTAGGGTTATCTTCAGGTGTTGTGATGTACACATTTTCATTATTGAATCGTAAATCATGTATACACATTTACATATAATGACTACTTTCTATGTACATTTATATTCTAGCATCTAGATGTGGATTTAAACAAAAGATATATATGGAACTAAAAGTTTAAGATTAAAAGTTGATTTTAAATTAATTTGAAAGTGCCGTATGCTCTATTCACGTACATGTCTGTTGCCGTAATAGGCCACACATCTTTACATCTGATTCTTCTATTATTGCTTAGATTCGTTTATGTTAACTATTTCTTAACCTTGAATTTATCTATATAGACCATGCAGTAGAGCATGCCACATAAATTAGACGACACAACAACAGTAATAATCAACATCCTGGAAATAAATTCATGCTGAAGAAACAGTTAACACAAACAAATTTAACCAATAATAGAAGAATCAGATGAAAAGATGCATGGTCTGCTGCAACAACAGACATGTAGTTAAATACAGCATACGACACTTTTAAATTAACTTGAAAATCAACTTTTAGTTATATATATATATTGTTTAAATCAGCATCTAGATGCTAGAATATAAATGTACATATAAAGTAGTCATTTTAAGTCTTTTGTATATAAATATGTATAAACGCTTTACAATTCAATAATGAAAATGTGTAAATCACAGCACCTGAGGATGACCCCATAAGGGTCGAAACATGTAGTGGAACATAAGTTAATAAATTATAGTTGCGTTGATGGTGGAATTTGTCTCATTAAAAATAAGGGAAATGCTGGCTACACATGCCCACTACACATAAGTGGGACCATTGTGGACCTGCCTGAGGGCCGAAATGGAAGAGGACATAAAATCCAGGCAAGATAAGTTACATGCCAACAGAGAACAAAGGAGGGCAGACATGAAAGCCTTTGATGAAATGATGGAAGGAAGGGAGGCTGAAAGAAAAGCCTCTGAACAGAAGATGATGGCTAAGTGGGAAGCTGACTGAAGAAAAAAGAGAAGCCTTCTTTCAGAAGAGGACGGCCAAGAAGAAAGTCACTGAGAAGTGGGGGCAAGGCTGGAAGCCATTCATGACAAGACAGACGCCAACGAGATGAGATTGGAACCCAAAACATAACCTCAAGAGAAGATGGATGCCAGCCTGAAGGAAATAAAGGAAGACTAAAAACAACCTAGCCATCCAAGCAGATGCAGATGCCGACTGAGAGCACATGCAAGAAATGATGACAACCAATCAAAAAAGGATAGAAACTAAAATGGACGCCATCCAAGAAAAGAGGGATGCCAAGGGCGATCATGGTAGAAATGAAGAATGGACAAAACGAGAGGACAGCCTGCCAAGAAGCCACAGAAGTCAATCCAGAGAAGCTGGAACCAAATCCAGGAGAAAAGGCTGCTGTAGTGGAGTGGCAAGAGATTCCTAATTAAGAGGTCACATTTCACTCCCTGAGGGCATGCCAAAATGAGAGGACAGCCTGCCACGAAGTGACAGAGGCCAATCCAGAGAAGATGGATCCAGTTGATCACGCGATAGCCATTTTCGATTGAATACAGGACATGACTGCCTTGCAGCACATCTTTGTAAGATAGGAATATATAACGCAGAAGAATGTGTACACTGTGCAACTTGCCAGGATCATCTATGGGAAAAGAACACCTTCAGTGCCCTAATCTTAACAAGGAGATGCAAGAAAGCAAGAACTTGCGTGCTCTCTATTGAGAAGCAAGAAGCAAAATGGTTTGAATTATACCAAATGCAGCCATTGGAAACCAGCCACCCAACCATAGCCATCTTGGAAAAGATGGAAGTCACAGATTTGGAGGCAAATCCAAAGGAAATGGAATCTGAGTCAGAACATCAGGAGGTCCCTAAGGAAGATGCCGTAGTGAAACTGGTCAAAGGACAGAAGAAGTGGCACAGGGACCAGCATCTAGCAGCAGGGCAACGCAGAGAGCTGAAGGAACTGACCCAAGGAGATTGTGGATCCTGGAGGAAGTTGACTGCCACCTGCAGGAAGATATCCCGTCATGCAGTAGTGGCACGGACGACATAGAAAAGACATCCTCATCTGTTGTTGCATGTTGGACCGTCTTTACAGAACTATTGCCTGGCAACTCGTTAAGTATTGAAGTCAAAAATGGGGTTCAGTTTATGATATATTCTACTCTCTGGTGATTATTAAGAGTAAGCACATGGACATATTTGCTGTGAAATTTTTTGCATATGCTCCTGGAGCCACCTAATCAACAATACAGTAATCTCACTGCAAGAAAGTGAATTTAATTTCCAGTTTGTATTTGTCATTACAGATGAACTAAGCATTGAATTCATTGAGAGTAAAAATCATAAAGTGTCAGTGCCATTGCTTAAAACAGGTATTGCATGGCCATCTGACAAAGAGATAAAATTCCGAAACCCTCCTGGAAACAGTTTGTCTCAAGGTGAGTTTCATGTACACTTCATTTTCTTTATTATTTGCTAATACAATATCTCAAGAAGTACATGCATCTTCTGTCTGGCAGAGCTGTGGTGGTCCCTCTGCTCGGATGATAACTGCAAGTTTATTGCATCCTAAAAATATTCACTGACCAGTTTACACTTGTTCACACACTCTTACTATAATAATAATAATAATAATAATAATAACAACAACAACAACAACAACAACAACAAACAGTGTTAAATTTGATCATATTTTTGGTGTATGTTTTTTCATCTTCTAATTGCTTTGTCAGGTTATTTTGTATATCCCACTTTGTATGGGTTTGTTTCTAGCTTCATGGTGGAAGTTGTTTTGAAGGCTATGTTTATGTTAGTGTTTTTTAATAGTTTTGTGATTTCTCATATATAATTTCCTGCATAGGTAAATGTGACATCATTGTTGTTCTTTTTCGGCTTTATATTCCAAATTATTTTTTGGTTGTTTGAATTTGTTGTATAAATGTAAGATGTCTTCCTTCCTATAACCATTATTTAGTGCTATATTAATAATAGCATTTAATTCTTTGCTTTTGATGTTGAAAGAAAACATGTGAAGGGGTAATGTGAGAAGTCTGTGTATCCAGTTTTTATATGCTGATAATTTTTGTTCTTTGGGGTGGCATGAGTTACTATTTATTGTTATATCTGTCGTAGGTTTTCTGTATATTTCCATTTCTATTTGTCCTTGTTTATTAATTACATTTAAATCCAAGTACGCTATTTGGTTGTTTACTTCCTCATTTATTACGAATTATAGGTCTTTATGTTGTCCATTGAAGTGTTCGAGTAGGTTTTCGGGAGTTATTTTTGTTTCATTGTAAATTATAAAGATGTCATCTATGTACCTGTTATAATATATGATATTTTCATCTTACAGCAAGTGTTTTATTTTATTTTGTTCTAGATCTTGTAGGAAAATTTCAGCCATAGTACTTGATAGGGGTGAATCCATGGCTATGCCCGACTTTTGTTTGTAAAATTTGTCATCGTATTGGAAATAGTTTTGATTTATAATCATCTTAAGTATAGACATGATTTCTTTTGTAATGCATTTGTCCACGTGATTATTTTTAAGTAATTTACACTTCACTAGAGTGTTCCCACGGTCTAACATGCAGCATAATGCATAATTGTTTCAAGTTTAGGAAAGCGTGCACACAGTGGGTGCCCAGAAAACTGAATAGGTCTATCCTTGCAACATCTCTGAGTCTTATGGTATGCAGATGAAGGAGAAGATATGCTTAACAGGATTGTTACTGGGGACAAATCATGAGTGCACTGCTATCAACCTTGGTGGCAAATGTTTCAGTGAGCAGGAAGGGGTTGAAACTGAGGTGAAGAAATGGCTGATATGGAAGTCAAAATACTACTTTGCTGCATATTTTGATGCTCTGGTAAAGTGATGGGATAAATGTATCAGTGTAGGTGAAGGATATATGGAGAAATAAGTATTTTTTCCATGATCAAATATCACATGTTTTGTCACTCTTGGGTAGTATTTACTGGTTCTATGTTCAAGGTGCATTTGTAGGTTTCTGGCTCTAATAACAAGGACTGTCCCTCACATGTCTCCGTTGATTTTTAGGTGTCATGTCGCAGTGTGAACAAATATTACTTGTAATTAGACAGGTATATGTATTCAGTTCTCAGTGTGTTGAATAAATGATTATTAAAATGTTAATGTATTCAGAACTAGAATTCCCTGTTCCTAAGTAAGTAAAAAAAAAGTAAAGCTATCCCTGTACCAGGCCGTGAAGGCCCATAGGGTTGTGAGACATTGAGGGTCCCACACTATCTAGACATTCGGCTCAAAGATGGCAGTAAGGTTGCCAGCCTTACACGCCTGCCGCACTTTACTCCCCAGGAAGATTATTTAATTAATTCCTGGTACTCATTTCTGTTAGCGCCTAGTGGCGCTGGAAGTATTAGGTCAACTGAAAAAATCCAATGACCTCATTGGGACTTGAATCCGCGACCTTCTGGCTTTTAGCATTGCTCCTCAACCACTACGCTATCACATTCCTGGTGTGAATCTTAATGTAATTTGTATATCCTTTTTTATTTTTTGGATTATGGTCTTGATCACAATATTCTTTGCAGCTTTCAAAGGATATGCAAAGCCAGATTCTTGGAAGAAGAATATCTGGGAACTTGATCCTAACAACACAGCTAACAATGGCTTTCAGAATGAGGATCTGATTGTTTGGATGCGAACAGCAGCTCTGCCAACTTTTCGGAAGCTCTATCGTCGCATTGACCATAGTATAGCTGGTTTCACAGAAGGCCTTCCTAAGGGAAACTACACACTTTTTGTGGACTACTGTAAGTTTGTGTTATGTACCAGAGTATGGCAATAACTGAAGAATCCTGTGCTTGTGTATGAAACAGAAAGTGATGCAACTGATAGTGAGATCTGCAGGCATTCATGCAAAAGCGTTGAAAATGAAATCATACATAAAAAATAATTTATATTTATGATGCTTTTCTTTCCATAATGAAGTCTTGTGAGTAAGGAGTCGTGTCATGTTTTATTGCAGAAAGATAAGAATTTTTTTGTAATATGAAATGCATTTCTTTGTGGCTACAGTTTTATATCCCTCCCATCATTCATGTGATTTACTTACATTAAGGAGGAATTTGATTCTTCTGCATTTGTGTTCCTCTGGCCCATTTTATTTGTTACTGTTGTGAGTCTCCTATCTCCCAGTTCTGTTATAGAAGTATATATTTTAAATTACGTAACTTCATAATGTGTCTCTTTCAGCTTATATGGTGACCAAATTTGAAGGCACAAAGAGGATGATTTTATCCACAACGTCATTGTTGGGTGGAAAGAACCCTTTCCTGGGCATTGCATACATTGTCGTAGGCTGTGTCTGCCTCCTGCTTGGTATAATTTTCCTATTTATACACGTGAAATGTGGGAAAAGGTGAGTTAAATTCTGCATTCTTTCTGGATGTAAATAGGTACTGTTACTACAACTTGTTCATATAATCCTGGTATTGTAGTGCATTGTGAATGTGGAAACAGGTTGAAATTTTTTCTAAAATTTGTACCATATTTAGTAAACTGTGAGGCAAGATTCTTTTATTTTTATTGAACTATGGAAGTTGTATTATGTTCATGACTGAAGAAGAATGCCTAAAAACAAACATTTCAGAGATTTCTGGAAAAGTAATCATCTGGCACTTGTGTATCTCAAAATTTATGTGTGCATAGTGTGTTTTGTTGATATGAAAATATTTTACAAGCATTTGTTGTTAGATTTCTGTTACCACTACTGCCATGCTCACACAGTTTATGTACTTTGTATTTTTGTAGTCATGTGTTTGCCTTTATGAGATCTTTTGTAATGGTGCAGCGCCATATGTCCAACATCTGTGTTGCTGATCAACCAGAGACTGTGCATGAAGTAGAACTACAGGATGTCTGATAAGTCAGTATACAAGGGTCAGTCAAAAAGTTCCTGGAATGGTGGTATAGCATTCTAATGGTAGGACATATGGCAACACTTACATTATCACCTTCCAAGTAGGACTCTTCGGCGCACACACACTTGCTCCATCGATTCTGCCATTGTTGGAAGCAGCGGTGGAAGGCTTCTTTTGGAATCTTCTGGAACTCAGCCATCGCATTCGATTTGGTGTCCTCCATGGTTGCAAAACGTGTCCCCTTGAGGCCCATTTTCAAAGTAGGGAACAGCCAAAAGTCACTCGGAGCGAGATCCGGAGAGTATGGTAGTTGAGTGATTCCAGGAATGCTTTTCTCGGTGAGGAATTGCTGCACAACGAGCAGTGTGTGGCTCAGTGCATTATCGTGATGCAAAAACCACTGTCCGTGCCACTTGTTGCGCCGCTTCCTCCGAACCGCATCACGCAACCTCTGCAAAACTTGCATGTAGAAATGGCCAGTAACAGTCTGTCCAGGCAGTACGAACTCATGGTGCACCAAACCTTCGATGTCAAAGAATGCAATGAGCATCAGTTTGTCTTTGGATCTGACGAGGTATGATTTTTTTGGCCAGGGAGATGACGCTTTGTGCCACTCCGATGACTGCATCTTCTTCTCCGGGTCGTAGGCGAACACCAATGATTCATCACCAGTGACGATCTTTTTGAGAAATGTTGGGTCCTGCGTACCTTTGTCAAACAGATTGCCAGCGACCATCATGCGACATTCCATCTGATCCATGGTCAGCTGCCTCAGAACAAACTTCGCACTGACACGTCTCATCTTCAGATTGTCAGACAGAATGGCATGAATGGATCCATGAGAGATACAAACTTCGTGTTCCAACTCCGCGATGGTCATTCTTTGATCACATCGAATCAGTTGTCACACTTTTCCAATCATTTCTTCAGTTCTGGATGTCGAACGTCTCCCGCTGCACTGGTCATCCTCAAACGTCTCCTGCCCATTCTTAAACCGGGAAAACCAGTCATAAACTGTGTATTTCTTTAGTGTATTATCACTGTAAACTTGCTGCAGGCCAAATTGTGTCTCTGAAGAAGATTTTCACAATTTGCACGTGAACTTGACGTTCACACGCTGTTCAAACTGCGACATTGCCCCAAATGACCAAATATCATGTCTAATTCAAATGGAACAGTAACGACACTGCATACTGAAACCTGTCCAGACCTGTTGCGCCTGCGAGCAGACATGCTGAGTTCCTCACCACAACAGTGTTTGCACTATCTTATCGCTCGTTCTCCGTCTGCAGTGGAATTCTGGGAACTTTCTGACTGCCCTACATATATAAATTGTCATAAAAATTGTGTTTAATGACTGGTTGTAATGAAACAAACTGTAAATGATACAATATTCCCTAAGGTTTTGTGCACAGTACTTGAAATTCCATGTGGCCTCATGCATTTATGACACATTTCCTTAAACTGGTACATTTGTTATCGCTGACTGCAGCATGAGTTCAGGAATGGTGGTAAGGGCATTGGTTGTTGTTTCTTCAAGTCTTTCCAAGTCTAGTGGTTTCCTGCATTAAGCTTGTTCTTGGTCCAGCCCCACAGAAAAATTGTCAGAAGGAATCAGGTCTGGGCTGTGGTGAGGCCAGTCCATTGCACTGGGAAATGATCATGCAGTCATGTATGGACAGCACTGCAGAATGAGAGGGTGTCCCATCCTCCATAGACCACAGTGTTCCAGTTTTTTCTCTCTGAGGGATTACAGGCCCCACACAGTCTTGCAACATTCATTTCATCCCTCAAAAAGAAATGCCCAGCAAATGTGGTTGTTGTAATCCTACAGCAGGCTGTTACCATAGGACAACCCAAAGCCTTTTCCATATGATGGTGTGGATATTCAGAAGCTTAATAGTAACAGTTATGTCGATTCATGGACCACCAATGTGAAACACTGCCTCGTCATTCCACTGAATGTTATCAAAATCTATGGCCAGTTATCATTCCATCCCAAAAACAATCCTGTGAATTCCATCCTTCTCTCATAGTCATCAGGAATAAACAGTTGCTTATTAGGGGTTTCCTTGGTTTGAAACACTTTTTATTCTGAGATGGTCTTGACTGCATGATGTATGAGCTCACATTTATAAGCATCTGGATGCAGTGACTTTTGTGGGCTTCGTGTCAACATTGGACTCACTGCTGCATTGTTCTTGAGAGTCTGCAAGATTCGTGATCCTCTGGATCCTGTCTTATTGGTGACACGCCCTATTCTCATTAAATTTTGGCGACATAGATTGTTAATGCATTCATTGTTGCAGTAACTCATGTTCAACTCTACTGATCTACATACTTCATGACAGGCTGCTATTCTGGCTCTTTGTTGCAAAATCAACATGGGAGGCATTATTAACCTGAAAAAGAAACTCGTGTTAATCCCACAAATTCTTGGGAATAATCTGTGATTTAGAGTTGGTTAACTCCATGGAGCTGAGCACTTCTTGAGAAGTTGCCAGTTTCTCAGCTACTCAAGAATTTCCCAACATTTTATGGAACATGGAGGTTAATTACAATGGTCACTAGAGCCATCCACTGGTTCCTATCCTGAGCCAAATCAATCCACTCCATACCACCCCATCCTATCTCTCTAGATCCATTTTAATATTATCCACCCACCTACATTTTGATCTTCATAGTGGTCTTGTTCCTTCTGGCTTTGTCACCATTGTCCTGTATGTGTTCCTCTTCACCCCCAGTCATGCTACATGCCCTGCCCATTTCATCCTCCTTGATTTGATCCTTGTCATTATACTTGGAGCAGAGTACAAGTTATGAAGCTCCTCATTATGTAGTTTTCTTCAATCTCCTACCATTCTATCCCTCTTTGGTCCAAATCTCCTCAGCGCCCTGTTCTCAAATACCCTCAGTCTGTGTTCTTCCCTTAATACTGGAAACCAAGTTCAAGAAGACATATTTTCTGAACTGAATGGTAGCAGCCATCACTTTCATTTAATTTGCACTTGAGTACCTCGTTAAAATCAAATTTTGGTGTATTACTGTCATTCCAAAATATCTTAAATCTGCCACATTTTCATATGATCTATTAGCTGTCTTTGTATAATGATTTTGCCGTGTGTTCTGGTGACAAGGCATCAACATAGTACTTAGTTTTCTCTGCACATATTTCTAGACTAACCTCCTTATTAGTGTCAGGTAGAGCTTCTTTGATTTTCTTTTTGGTATTTATGTTATCTCTGGAAAAAGAACACAGTTGGGGACTGATAAAATGATACCGAGACATGTCTATGATAAACCCTTCACAGTCAGATTCCCTAATAGGAGTGAATGGAAAAATGGGTTTCGACCAGACAGAAAGGGGACACTAATCTGTTATACAGATGGTTCCAAGACAAAGAAGGCACTGGAGCTGGGGTTGTATTGCCATGGATCAAAGCTAAAACTTAGCTTTAGCTTTGGGCAGTACACAAGAGTATTCCAGGCAGAAGTGTATGTCATTAAGGCATGCACAGTTGAGAATCTAGGTAGAAACTATAAAAATAGTAACATCTATATTCTATCAGATTGTCAAGCTGCAATTAAAGCACTTGGCAAACACCAACTCACCTCAAAACTGGTCTGGGACTACCATCAGTCCCTCACACAACTGGTCGAACATAACAGGGTTCAGTTGATATGGTTACCAGGTCATGAGGGTATCATGAGTAATGAAATGGCAGATCAGCTGGCAAGAACAGGATCTGAACATCTGTTCACAGGACCTGAACCAGCTTGCAGTATCTCAGTTGGAGTTGGAAAGCTGTCAGGGACTGGATGAACAGAAATCACAAAAAGCACTTGTCAAATAGGCAAAGGGATTTATACCAGAGCCCTCTTCCAGAAGGACAAAGGATCTGTTGAAGCTAAAGAGAGACCGATTAAGATGTGTGATGGGAATATTGACAGGACACTGTCACTTGAAAGGACACCTTTGCAAACTGGGATTGACAGGTGCCTAGAAGAGGTTGAATCAGCCACACATATCCTGTGTGATTGAGAGGCCATAGCGTGTCACCTTGGCCAGTACTTCATTGAACCAAGTGACTGTTATGATGCCCCTATAAATAGGGTTCTGCATTTCATCCAAAGTGTAGGATTAATAAACGGTTAATCAAAGGGGAAGCACAATAGATCAGTGATGATCGCAGTGCAAGGGCCAATTTACTATGGCCCACCCTTATACATACGTACATGTATGTTATCTCCCAATATATTTACATCATCATAGAGTGGCAGATGATGTATCCCATTTCATTTCAGTCCCTTGTTTTATGAATGCTCAATTAACAAGTTTTTGCTGCAACAAACTGCATTAATTTAATTGAAACCTAGTTTCAATGGTTTTCCTTAGCCCCTCTAGGAGAATTCTGGACTAGTATTTTCAGGTGGGATATAATGGCTTCCTTCCACATCCTCTCCACTTTACCATAACTGACTAATTCCACAGATCAGAGACCTCTTTGAGAAGCTATTATTTTATGAAACTTGAAGATTCATTCTATTGTCTGCAAACACCTGCCTCCATTTCACTATTCAGTCGTGCTATCATTCGTTATTATAATAAGTACAGTGGAAATTATTATATAATTCAAGACACAATCAATAACTGTCCTTTAACTACTCATCAGTGTCATTCTTACCTAGAAGACCTTGAAGAGAAGATGTTTGCTGTGAGAAACAATTAGGCACATATACTAGAATGGTACCTTTCTTTGCCCAGAACATGGTTGCTTTCCTTAGAAATTTCGCAGTTTATAGTAACTAAAATGTTGAGGAATCGATAACATCTACTATATTCATTGTTAATTCAGGTCTGGTGATCATATATTTTGTTTCTTGCTAAAAATGCAGGGCAGTTAACACTTCCTTATGTCTGGCATTGGGCCTGTCTGTCATTCTAGCATATTAAGATTTTCTTGCATTCAGTAGAAGTTGAAGAAAATTTAGTGCAGAGATGCCCATGCTTTCCATATGCACTTTACTCTGACTCTGTGACCTTTGAAATGAAATTATTAATAAATAGACCATTGTTGGCTGCTGAATACTGATCACCAGTGAAATCTGTGTGGCTGGTACCTAGGAAGTATAATCAACTCTTGCTCTGCAGATCACTGCTGGTTGCCGAGTACCTAAGACCAGTAAAATCCATGTAACATGTAAACCTGGGTTTGAGGAAATGGATGTTTCATGTTTCTGCCCCAATGCCCATGCCATTATTTTGAAGTGTATAAAACCTCTCCAGAGTCCTTTTCAACTGTGCCAAATTTGGTCAAAATAGATATAGTGGCATGAAAGTGTATAAAGAACATACACTCATATTTGTACATGTGTGTATAGATATACAAACATACACATTCCAGAAGTATTCATACGGTGAGGTTCGAGGTTTGCACAGCAGTGATCATAAAAATTACTGTCTTTGGAGATGTGATGCTGTACAATCTGGTGCTGCCTCCATCATGGTAGACCCTAAAGCTGTATGGAGCATGTTTCTCAGTTACATGTGTAAACTTTTGTCAGGCCATGTGATTCATATACAGGTATTTATTTAATATACTGTGAAAAAGTATTGTCACGTGTTGGGTATGTAACGCGACAAATACTTTACGCCGTATTGAAAGTAGCAAATTTATTTCACAATCGCTCTTACACTTATACAGTTCACAATTTCACAGTTACTGCCATCTGCAGTATCACACTGACTTCTGTTGGAGTCACTGCCATTCACTCCAGTGAATGCTAGACTGTAACTGACTGGTTAATCATTACGCACTAGTAACTCACTCACTCATAACTGGCTCAATCCTCACTCTGAATAGTGTTTGCTGCTCTTTATTTAGCCTCGGCTCGGACAACACAGAAAACAGTTATGTGATAGGTACCGCTGTTGCCTGACGCCGTGTTTACAGGTGTTGCTAGCAATGCTGTCGAAAGCTGTTTACTGCCGTGTAGTGACCAGCGAGCTTCGGCTTGGCTCAGCTCACTTCACCTATACTAGGCACATCACCGAGGGGGAGGGGCGCCCACCGAGCGTTGCGTAGTGACAGAAGGAGTGGGGGTATGTGACGTCACTCGCGAGACCACAGAGTTCACACGGCCCCTTACTTCCTGTTGCACCATCCAAGTCACACTATACTGAAATAAAATGTGCTGTATGCAAGAAGAGAGAAAATGGTGTCAAGTCTAAGGGATTATTGACATTGATGAAGTACATGAACAGTTCTTGGATTATAAGAGAAGTAATTGAGACAGGCCAATGCCCTGTTCGAATTGTTAAGAACAGAGAAATCCCAAAGGTTGAGCATTGAATGAGTATGTAGAGTTAAATAAATTGAAATTGCTGTAGCACTTTAGAAAAGTGTGTACCAAAGGTTTAGACTGATCTCTTGCTTGCTGTTTGTTCACTCTTATTTCTTACCCATTGATTGCATGCGCTATAGAAGTAACGCAGACTCAATGTTCCTGAGATGTGTGGATGCTTGAAAAGTATATTAACCAAACTCCTAAGGCAGATGTTGGTAATTATGTTGGTAGCACTACATTTTTTTTTTTTTTTAAGTTCAATGGTAATACCAATTTCCCTTGGCAGCTGTGTTGCCAGTAAGCAATTCTGATTTGTTGCTTGTGTTTGCTAAGTAAAAGTAGTTTTTGGTCCTCTGTACTTCTCAAGGAGCATGTAATAGCATGATTATTATACCAAAGTATCTAATATGTATTAGTTTTACTTATTTTAATAATTTATGATTATCTACTCCCCTCAGTTGCATATTTTATTCAGCTTGTTTCTTTACTCAGTTCTGTATGACTGCATATGTGAACTGCACTCATTCTGTATATGATAACCAGGGCCCAGACTTTGATGACCTGAAAATATTTAAAAAACGACCGAAACAATCCAGAAAAATTACCTAAAATATGACCCAAAAATGTAATGTGCAGGGCCCGGTTTTTGATGACCTGAAATATTAAAAAAATGATCGAAAAATCCAGAAAAATTACCTAAAGGAAAAAAGAAAGAATATTTCACTTCCATGTTATTCACATTTTAGAAGACATATGAAGAAAAATTCCCTAAAATGACAAGAAATACCCTTAAAAGCCCAAAAAAATTACCCCCAAAATGAAAAAAATGACCTTAAACCTAAAAATGACAAAAATTACCTATAACATTTACATTTCTCTAACCAGTAGCTCATATCCAAGATTTATATATTTAAGAGCATCAGATAGGATACAAGGAAAAAAAGATGACATGTCATCAAAATCCGGGCCCTGATGATAACATATCTTTCCCCACATAATCGTAGTTATATTGTTATTCTCTTATTGTTTAGTCCAGAGAATTTATCTTTGTGTTTGTTTGAATATTGTCATCCTTTTTCCATATCTATAGTGTAAAACAATAATTCTTGGCTCTTTCAGTGTCTAAGTAAATTGTTCCCTGGATGCTAAAAAAACATTAATTACATATCATACATATGGCTCTGCAGGAAACCTCTTGTTAGGACAGGTGGAAAAGTATTATATGAGCCAAGGAGTATTGCATAGATTTTGACACAGAGGTAATGAGTTGCATCTGCAGTTCTTCACATCAAAATGTGAGATTGTGTGTTAGAAGTGTAGACCTATACAAGAAATAATGCATGTATACTAGCATTGAACTTCCTCTCTTTTGACCCTGGTCCATGTGCATTTTTCAGATATATCACACAACAGAGACACAGCTGCAGTGAACATGCCCTGACTTAATATGTAACTATGTCCATCGATCACAACAACTTTATTCTATCAGTAAGTAACTGATACAATCAAAGTGTCGATAGATCACGTTTTAGGTTTATATGACCAGACTATTAGCAGTGTATCCATTGCATCGTGCAGGTTAGTAATGAACGTGGATACATTTTGTTGTTTATAAACACCTGATAATGGTCATAAAGGGCCGAAACATGTTGTGTGAAATATTTTAATAAACTAAACTGATTTATCAATAAATTGATTCTATCAGTTATTTATTGAAAGCATAAAGTTGCTGTGATCGACAGACATATTTACATATTAGTGACACACAACAAGAAGCCAAACGTGCAGATGAAGATGTCCTGACTTGTTACTGTTACTGCATGTCCAAGCATATTATTACTTATTCTGTAGCTTTAGTTACTTGTGGTCAGAGTTTAATGTTAAAGAACTCTTGTCATGTGTTGACTTAATGTTTGATAGTACAGTAAAACGTGTGCATTTACTTGTGTGAAATCAGAAATTCAGTGATCCAAACATATGCAGAAAGAATTTGGGGATGCAATAGCATGATGGTTTTGAATGGTTTGATCATATGAAGAGGGCTGGATGTCCATCATAAGTGACTGGCAACATGCAGGTCCTTCAAAAAGTAAAATTTATAAGTCACTAGCTCATGTGCATGATTTAATGTGAAAAAAGAGAAGACTGAATATTTATGAAATTCCCAGAGAGAAATAAATCTCTTGTGGTTTTCTCAGGCCATTGTAATTGAAAGCTTGGGAATGGGAAGTGCCTCTGCCAAGTACCTCCCTCTGTCCTTGACACTGGAAATTGAGATTTGCTTTACAATACAGAAACTTTGTAAATAATATAACAGGTGTTGGAGAATGCTTATTGTCAGTCATTTTTTGTTCCTGTACCGACCCATCTGCCGCCTAAAAATGTAAATATTAAGATATTCAAATCTATAATTTTTACCTCTTGTTTCATATGCCTGTGAAACTTGATCTGTAACATTGAGGGATTTGAGAATAGGATGTTTAGGAGAATATTTTGAACTAAGAGAGAGGAAGTACATGCACTGTCTTAGCTCGCTCGGATGCCGGGATTGTGGGTTCAAATCCCACTCAGGGCATGGATGTTTGTGTGCGTTTTTCTGTGTTTGTGAACAGGTAGAGGCCTTGCGACAAGCTGATCACCTGCCCAAGGGGTCCTACCATATGTCTAAGATCTAGTAAACCGAAGTAAAATGGAGAGTTTCATGGAGGTAGGCCTAGGCCCAAATGAGGGCTGTAGCGCCAATGAAAGCAAGAAAGGAGAGGAAGTAACAGAACAGAAAGACAGTTGAATAATGAGAAGGTTCAGTTTGTATTCTTCACCAAATATTATTAGGATAATGAAGTTAAGAAGGATGAGATAAATGGAACATGCAGAGTTCATGCAGTTTTGTCAGTAAACAGGAAGGAAAGAGAAAGTATGGAAAACCAAGGACGGTATTAAAATTTGTCTTAAACAAGTAAGCTGGATGGGTATGGACTCAATTAATTTGGCTGCTGTTTGTGAAGATGGTAATGAACCTTCAGGTTTCATGAAAGGTAAAAATTTTCTTGACTGTCCAAGTGACTCTTAGCTTCCCAGTGAGGACTCTGCTGCATGGAGTCAGTTGGCATGTGAAAAAAAAATTGTTCTGTCATTGTGACCCTAAAAGTAAGCCATCATCAGATTGAATATCCCTTGCCACATGGCAAAACCAAAGTAATGCAGATTTTTTTCATTTACCTGCAATTATGCACCATATTCCAGAAAATCAGACCGTTAATTCTTAAAGATCAGTGATTGCTGTATGTACAATCTGATTTAACATTAGAAAACTGCATTTTGCAGATGGTGCATTCGTGTATTTCATATGATTGTCAGAAATCAAACATATATTTACGTAGACAGTATCAGCTGATTGGTCTTTGTGTGTTTTGTGAGGTAGAAATTGAATATATAAATAGATTTAGATTAATTTCAGGCTTCATGAGGTCATTTCTATGCTGTTACCATGCTTTTATGTTACTGTGTTTCTAATTGATACATGCTACTTTTTCCCCACTGTAAATTGTAAATGTAACTGGTTGAGGAGTCTTGTAGACATATTTTTCACACATTCTACATTATACCTTATAGTTGGATATAATTCAGAGAATACATTGGTATGACACCTTTCTTAAACTATATTTGAATGCATTAGCTAATAATACACTAGCTTCTGATTTTATTTATTTATTTAAAATAAATTGACATTTCTTAGCATTTATTGTGTTATAAACAATGGAATATAATCTTGTTAAATTAAACTATGTTACTGTTAGGTGATTTTTTGCCACCCAGAAGTAAACTGACAGGAAAGTTATGTAATATATACATATATATATATATATACATATTCTCTCTGACAGTTTATCTAGCTCTATCAATATTCACCTCAGCATCTTAAGTTTACCAAAGCTGAGAACCTACTTCATATTTCAACACGATAGTGCTGTTTAATCTCTATCTCATTCAGTTTCTCCATATGGACTCTGTGCATTGTTTTCTACTCACTGCCAATCTCTCCCTAACTTTTGCCACCACCAGACAGTGGTCAGTTTCACAATCTCATCCCCTGAATGAGTGGACATCAAGTATACTTGAATGCTGTCTCCTACCTATCAAAATATGGTCAATTTGGTTGTGTTTCTTCCATCAGGAGATGTCCAAGTAAATTTTATGGATGTTATGATGTGGGAACATCGTACTATTCTTTATTAGGATTTTTAATTCATTGTTTTGCCTGCTTTCCTTCATCTGGAAGAGAGTATACTGTGTTTTGGATTTGTAGAGAAATTGTTTCAAAAGATCATATTACTTCAAATAAGACACATTTTACACTTATTTTTCTGTTGAAAAGTTGAGGTGTGTCTTAAATTCAAGGAATGTGTACCTTTATGATCTTTTTTCCTAAAATCCACATTTGCAAACTGGATGCATCTTATAATCCAAGTCATATGGTATCACTTTACTAAGCCTGTATTTTCTGAAGCTGTATTTAGGAGTTAATTTATATCTTGTCCTATATTCAGTACTGATGTATCATTGGCATACATTATTACCCTCCCTTGTTAGATGTGGTACATAATTTATATATAAAATGAAAAGTAATGAACCAAGAAAAAACCTTGAAGAATTCCACATCTAACTGGAAGGCTATTTGACAAATATTATTTTACCTGACTGTTTGCTACATTTTTAACTTTGACTTGTTATGTTCCGCTTGCAAGATAGGATCTGAGTAGCTTATGTGACATACCATGAACTCTATGTTGGTATAATTAGCCCTCAATGCAATCAAGTGCTTTTGATAAGCCTACTAGTACAGATTTGCATTTTATTTTATTATTCCGATTATCAATTATATTTTCAATAACTGTGACAACACCATCTTCTGTAAATTTATTTTTCCTAAATCCAAACTCACATTTATTCTTTATGTTGTGTTTGTCTAAAAGAAAGAGTTTAGTTGCTTTGTCAAAATCAAACATGTTCGTGTATAATTGTATAAAAAGGAGGTAATACAGACAAAATTTTTAAGATGTAACAGTTGCAAGCAGAAAAGGCTGTTCAGAGCTATTCATACAGTCTGCCAAGCTTGAACATTCCCCTTGAAAATCCCATAAACACCTTGCACAGGAAACCATGGTTTAGTTTACAGTTTCAAGTTTGCTCTAATCCCAAATAAAGGATAATACACGACTGTGAACATGTTACGCAGGCATAAGGAAGTGTGCATAACATCAACCATTTGTAGCATCTGCTGTGACCTGTTGGTCTGTGTGCCAACGGCATTGTTGATCCAACTGTGTGCGGAAAGAGTTCAGGTGAGAAGCGTGCATCTCTTCTGCTGGACCAAGTGAACAATTTGTGGCAGACCCTCAAATCATTTCAATGTATATGTTACTAAATCTTGCTGTGCGCTTTTAATTTCAGTAATTCTTTCTAGTCTTAAATAAGAAACCTGATTGTCTAATACAGTGTTAATTTCAGTGTTTAATCAAAATTCAGTTTGTTCCCTAACACAGAACATACTTCGTTACTGTTTCCAGACAAGTATGTAATCTTCTGTATACTAGAAATTATAGTAATTATAATATAATCAAATTTCAAGAAATGTTAAAACATTAAATGTTAAACGTTATGAATTATGGGATGACATCTTTACAAACGATAATGTAAATAATATTTTTAACACATTTCTCAATACTTGTTTAAAAAAATTCTATTCATGTTTTACTAAAAAAAAAAATCACTCCAAAATTCAAGTATTAATCTATCCCCTCTCCCAAGTACTTATTTTCTTCAGTTCAGAAGGAAGCTTACTATTCAGGTATAAAGATTTATAACCACTTACCTAGGGAATCTGAACAGTTATCCAATGATCAAAAATCATTTGGGCTTGCCTTAAAGAGATCTTTATGTGTAAACCCTTTTTATTCGTTGAATGAGTATTTTAATTACAAGTGTAAACTAATCTGAGTGTATTGTTATTGTATAATATAGGTTTATGCTTAATGTATATCTTGTAATGTTTTACAATGTATCTATTATAATCCTGTACTACATGTGTGCTGTTGACTAATTCATTGCTGCATTGGGTATTCAAGCTGTCATGATGGTAACCACATCCACACAATTTAATTTCTTAATGGATCTCTGGCGAACTAATGAATGAATGAGACAAAAAGTTGTCACAGAACTCACAAAAATACCAGTGACCATACAGCAGTAGGCAATAAGTTTTCCAGGATATACCCTGTAGGCACAGAGAGTGTATCACAAGAAAGTGCAGGGGATATCATTAAAGCGTTTAACATTCTGGGGCATGATGTATCCCAATATGTTAGCAGTAATACTGGACATCTGTATTGTAGTGACACTCAGAATGACTTCAGTATGTTGTTCTGCCTAAATGTTGGTTCATACACTCATGAGTGAAGTAATCAGTAAATATGGCCAGATTGCCAGTAACCTTCACTGTATATTATCCTTGCTGGACAGAGTAGGAAAGGCAGCAGTACATATATGGTAGGAGAAGGGTCATGCACAAATAGTTGCACCATGTCCTGGGTCCTTCAGTACTTTTTTTATATCCTACTTCAAATCTGAGAGTAAGGCATAAAACACACAACTAAAAAATATATGTACTGTAGACGCATTTATCTATGTTCATATATTGATGTAATGTATTAGACTCACTGCTCAAGAGTTACAGATCATGGTGCAAGTTTATCCAAGAAGCTAACCTAACATAATTCACATTGCCAAACCCAACTAAAAAAAAAAGCTTCTCTGGAGGACCAGAAACCACTCCTAAATTTTCGTGGTTAAAGGTCCCAACAACAATCTGCACTTTGGTCATACTTAACAACAGATACACTTCAATCCATTTCAATTCTATAGATTCACTTCTGCAACAGGGGTATAATTTTTTACAAACACTTAAGTTAATGTTGTGTTAAAAGGCATCAAGAACCACTATGCAATACCCAACAAGCAATCTAGTTTGTAAGCAACATTCTAGTTAGCTTTGTTTCGCTCTCCATGAAACTACCAGTTCGTGCTCATGCAAACCGATGGCCACGTAAATTCATTTTGATGCAAGATACATTATAACTATTGTTAACTTTGCACACAAGCCGCGTGCTCATGCAAACCGATGGCCACGTAAATTCATTTTGATGCAAGATACATTGTAACTATTGTTAATTTGGCATACAAGCCGCACTTTTTATGCGGAAAGTCGTAACCTTGTCGTTTACAAATTCCGGTTTTATGTCGATAGAACTCATTCAAAATGGCGATGAATACAATGACCATTTGCTTTAGTGTACAGAAACCAACTGAACCACGAATTAGGGTGCTTAGGGAGTGTTATCTGAGCTTGGGGCTAAAGGCTCTACACACAAAATGAATACTTTGCCCGTAAAATTTATAATAGTAGGACGAATAAACACCTAGCAGTAGGTTATATTCCAGGGGTGGGTGGTAATTCCATGTCATTCTAAGCCACGCCTTCCTTCGACATCATTCTCGTTTCCCATTGGTTGAGTCGTTACCATGCCGTTGAGATGCCTAATTCACTCTTACCCTACTTCTTTTTTAGGATAAGAAATGTGAAAATATCAAATTCAAATAACTTCTTGAGAGGTAGTGTAATGATGTTCTCTTCTCTCAGCCAATAGCAAGGCGTGGTAATAAAAAATGTAGACACTGACTTTCCTTTCCCCCCTTACGCAAGCTCTTATGTCATCCTAGCCTAGACGCCAAAAGCTGTGGATTGAAAACAACATAATTAACGGTTCATAATTATAATGAACGATCTGCAATTTTTAAGCAGTGCGCCAACACAACAATCCTCTCAACAATTTCGTTTTCATGTAACGAATGCAAATAGGCATCACAAAACGGAAATAAAATTATGTGACAAATTTATCCCATAATTTAACACTCATTTACGATTATAAATCCGTTCGAATACCATCTTCACCCAGATACCGATTTTCAAGCGAAGGCTAAGAAGTAAATTCGGAATCCACCAACTCCCCCTCCCCTTTCACCCTTGAACATTCAGTCACGCTTCGATCCATGCACCACCAACGCCACAACCCAGGCCCGGCCAGAGAATGGAACTTCTCACGGCGATGACGTCATCCATCCAATCGGGGCAACGGAATCCCTGGAATGTAGCGTGTAAACCCCGTAGGAGATAGGCACGCTACATGACGGGTGAGTGGTCTGTTTTCTGAACATTATTTTGCTGATCAAATTTTCACTGGGAAAACTGCTTGCATGGGGCTCACAAGTGGACTGGAAGACCGTGTGTAATTTCGATGGACTTCGTGATGGGATTCAGTGTTGGTTTGGTGGTCTAGGAATTTTCTATTCGACCAAAGTGTGTGTGATTTTCCTGTGGTCACTTTCCTGTACACTTCTGCTCCGCTGACGGCGAATGCTACACGGCCAAGCCCAAGGCCTTCTGCGGCGTACATCACTTCGCTCTTCCTAATTCAAACGTAGAAGCGCTCGGTTTATATTAAAAACGCAAAACTATTCCGCGATTACAATTCGGCGTGTGCCTTCCAACTCGTAGACGAGATTTCTGTGTGGTTTTTATTATGTCTTGGTTGGTTCTCTACCCCCCTTCCAAACCCCTCCCCCGTATTCCCTCTCCTACGAACGCATTCCAAATCCCCCTGTGTCCCCTCTCTGTCGTACCGCTAAGTTTTCTAATAAAGCTAACCCATAAGGGCTGAAAAGCTTGACTTGTGCGTGTATATGGACGGTTTTCGAACTGAAAAACTAAATTCTGAGGAATGCATTATTTTTAAAACGAAAGGTTGAATTTTCCAATTCACCGATTGGCTCATATGATTGTGAAACGCCATTTGGCACCTTGTCAAACCAATAATATTGATTCATACTATTTTATGTAATGCAATGCGGCCTGTTTTGAGGATATAACGTTCTGAGATTGTTCGAATAAATACTTTGAATATCAAGATGGCGGGCGGTTTTCTGACCGTAAGAAGTAAATGGAAGAATATTTTTATGTATTATCATAATTTGTAGTCATTGTGTCGTGGCCTAGGATGTATTTTTTTTTCAATTTTCAACCGAAATATTTTCGACCACGAAAGAAATAGTTGGGTAACTGGTGTGTGTCACATTCCCTTAAAGTGAGGGCTGTTCATGTATCATTCCCCCAGCAGCAAATTAAGGCTGAGCAGGAGAGGTAGTGAGAGGATGAGGTAGGGGAATCTTTTCGTAACCGTGTTTTTATATGGCATACTAACTTGTGGGATGTGACATCGTGTAGCCTGGTCGATGTTTACTGACGTTTCGGAGGAACGTGCCACCTCAGGGCAGAAGAAAAGCTCAAATCTCCCAGTGTTTAATATTGTAATTTGTGTCTGCCACTGGGAAAATCACACATTTCAGACCCTCAGAAGAGATTATTCATGATGTATAAATACAAAATAATTATATAAAGTATCAACTTCAACAGTGGAAGCAGTTTTCCCCTTATGTAATGTCATGTGTGTCAAAGTTTTGTTTAAAAGATGTTCCTTGTAAGCGAATTCATTGAACTGAAATCTGTCCCCTTGCAAACAGAAGGAGATATGAAAATAATTTGGGGTGAAGCAACCATTGCATGTGATACGCACTCATCTTCAGCATCCCTAAAGTACTGAATCCCAGAGGCCAATCCAGGTCTATCGAATGATTCATAACCTACTTACAAGGTTTTGGAAGTTTAAATTGTTCCGAAATAGAACACAGTGGCGATATATAGGGAAACTTTGTTTTTTTATCGTTATGAGAGAAAGATGCGCAGTCACAAGGTGTAGTGCCAGTTGTTCAAAGATTTTTATCAGCAACAATCGACATCCAGCAGTATGCGCGCAAACGCTCCCATTTATAGTCTGGGCCTCGAACGAAATGCTGCAAATAAAATGCACTTGTTCTCTGTCAGCGGATGTGTCATATTGTGTCTGGTAGGGAGAGGCAATGTAAACGCCCAATTTATCTATAAATGACATTGGTAATTTTCTCCCCCACCCGCATCGTCTCTCTCTCTCGTTCTCTGTCTGTCTCGTGTTACTTGTAATTCATATGAAATGTATTTGCGCCAGACTGTCACGTTAGGCTAGCCAACCAGTAGGATGCATTGAAAGTATGGGAGGGGAGACTTGGAGGACCAATAGGAAAGTTAGATCTCGTGACCCAACCAATCACAGCTCAGTTGCGCCATAGGTTAACCAATTGGAATAAAAAGAGATGGGTTTGTTGTAAAGGAGCAAAGTAGCTCGAGCACTAGTTAAAGTGAAACTTCGGGTGTTTCCGGAGTTGCTTCGTGTTTTTGATGGGCCCTGGAAGAGGAGGGAGTCGGTTGCTGGTCTTACGTCACACAAGCTGTCTGTGAGCTATCACACAGTCCCCCCCCCCAATCCTGCAGCTGTTTTCATTTACTTAGAGACATGCGCGCGTAACATTTAATGCTGTTTTCACAACTTACACGGGATAAATAATTTGCATTGAGTGACAACAATTGGAAAACGTTTCACATGTGTACCGGAATTTCTATCCCTTTTTTTTTTGTAAGGTCTTAACAGTAGCTACGAAAAGTAAAGCCCCTTTCCTTAATTAAAACGCCACGCCTTCAGGACCTACAGTGTAGTTGAGGCATTCGTAACCGCGTCATGATTTAGACGTGAGTGGCCCCATGATCCATCCTTTTACCTCCAAGCCAGGCACAGGGGGTACCTATGGGATAGGTTGCCTGCTGTGTTCCGGAGTCGGTCTGGGCGCCGTGGAGGAGAGAGAATCTGTTCGTCTGCTCGGAACCCCGATTTCCTGTTCATCTAACCCGCAGCCTAACATACTGCCTAAGCTATCGCAGAAACCTTTTGCTATTCTTCAGTTCCACGCCATCGACTGTTGAGATATAATCAACTTTGGTTTGCACCTGAGCTTTCTGGCGTGCTGTCAGCTTGAATGCTCTATCCTGTCTTGACATGTGATTACATCTTCCATTAAGAATGTTGTGGTGTAGGAACTCTTAATATCTTTTATTGTGGCAAAGTTTACTACTAACTCCATTTCAGTATTAGTTTTATATAAACCCCCCTCCGCAGTTGTGGGCTTGAAAAAATGTACCTCTCATTATTCATTGAAATTCCCAGTTTTCATTTGCAACAGAAGCCTAGATAATTAGCCGTGACGTGCTTTATAAGTTGTACCCGCAAATATGAAGGCGAAGAGTGAGTGCAGTCTCCTGCAAAATAACGCCATGTGGTCCGTTGAAAGTCAACAGACATTTTTGAGGAACATGGAGGAGACATCTTCCTGCGAAACGTCGGATGACTTTCAACGGACCACATGGCATTGAAATACTGAAGATAGAGCTCTGGTGCGACAAAGTTCGATCGCATAACGTGAAGTGACAAGAACACTTGCAAGATGCGCTCACAATTCAACGGGAAACATTTAATATCGATCTATACTGGCTCATCAGTATGGCCAACGCCTTCAGCGGATTGCGTACTTTTCTTGGATTTATATATGTATGTAGAGAAGTGTGCGTTGAAGAGAAGAATATGTATATACGATACAAACGTATGAGTTTTACAGATTTCTTACTTTAAAAAATTTATGTATCTGTTTTATCGAGTTTTGAAATATGTTATGTTGGCGACTGTGTATACTGGCTTATGAAAAATGGTCACCGTGGTGTTTGTATTTGTACCCAATGTTTTATGTGTTTCAGTTAATTACTGAATTAAATAAAGATAGATTTTCCGTGAAACAAAATGTATTCGTAATGGACGTAACACTTGTTTCCATTTAATTTCTGGTGAGTGAAAAGGTAATTGTGAAATGTGGAGTCTTGCACTTCGTGGGATGTGCTTGTGGTATGTGGGTTATAAGAAGGATAATTTTGCTCTCTTTGGAACGCAGTGATTAATACCAAAAGGCTTGTTACGAGGCTGTTGACGCATTCTTGAAAAACTGAATTTTCTCTTGACATCGTAGAGTGAAATTCTGGTGGTTTTATCGTCAACCCAAAGTAAATTTTGATAGGTATTACCAAGTGAAATACGAGGACACATGACTTTTTTAGCCCTTTAAAATTTGAATGTTTTTGAAGGATATTACGATTTAAATTAATATGTGTTTCTTTGGCATTGTTCTGGGATTTTGTGTGAATGTGTTGGGAAATTTGGTCATAGTGTAGGGTATTGCACTGAACTCATGCCACGTTTTGATGCATGTTTGTAAATCTCGTGTAGATGCTTCTCTCTGGATAGGTTAGGTTAAGGACAGCTTGCCATAACCTACACTCCAGCGAAAATACAAACGCGACATGGAAGTTTTGTACTGGAAGAGCTTGCGGTATTATCTGAATTGTTTTTGATGACTTCTAATTATGTTGAAAATGTAAATATTAAAAGAAGGAATATTATTACCCAATTAAGTGAATGATGTGCCTTTAGAGGAATAGTTATCCCATAAGAGAAGTAATTAATAAGCAGTGTTGAGGTCCTGATGACACTGCAGTGTACAGTCAAGTAAGATACAAACTGGACTGAAATGGAATGGCTCTAAATTGTACAGTGCATCTTTTTGCTAAGTTACATATATCTGTTACTGACTACTGGCCATGCATCATCTGTCCATCTTGGTCTCATTCTAGTTCCAGGCTTAAACAGTGTTCAGTCAGGCTTAACCAAACAACAGTTTATCATTTGATTTGCAGGTAGATAAACCCATAACTCTAAACTGGAAATGCGAAGGGTGATTGAAGTGATCTATCAAAGCCCTATAACATTTTAAATTTCTGTCTAATGATTGTTAGCCTGCTACAGTGGTTTCCGTACCCTGTTCCGTTATGGCAGGCTGTAATTTGATTATAATTGGCCTTCAGGAAACTGATCTATATCCCTTCCACGCATCAAACCTGCACAGTTATGTGGCCCAGTGTTATTGTCATCTTGATGGTGATGGGGCAAGTGGAGGGATGGAGATTTTGTTAAATAGTATCAGTTCTTCTGCCCTACATGTTAACACTGTCCATTTATATCTGGAAAATGTGTTGTTCATCATTTAGCACATTTATACCCCTCCAGCAGTACTTGTAGTACTAGATGACCTAACCATTCTGTTATCAGAATAACCTCCTCCATTCATTTCTCTTGGTGATTTCATCACCAAAAGTATTCTCTGCAAATAAGTCCTTACTGACAAGAGAGGTGGGGTGGTTTCTGATATATGTGCTGGGTGGGATTTAATCCTTTTAAACACAAGTGCAGTTATGCACCACTGCCCAAAGGAAGGTACTTTTTTTCTGCTCTGGACCTTGCCTTCTACAAAAGGCTTTCTGATCAGGTGGTAGTGACAACTTACTTACTTATGGAGCTGAGCCCTTCTTGAGGAGAACCGAAATCTGCAGCCACTCAAGAATTTCCCAGCATTTTATGGAACTCGAAGGTTCATTACCATGTTCACAAGAGCCCTCCACTGGTCCATATCCTGAGCCAGATCAGTCTGATCCATACCATACCATCCTATCTCTCTATGATCTGTCTTAATATGGTCCATCCACCTATGCCTTGGTCTTCCCAGTGGTCTCTTTCCTTCTTGGTTTTCCACCAGTACCCTACCCATTCGTGCTACATGCCTTGCCCACATCATCCTCCTCCACTTGATCATTCTAATTATACTTAGAGAAGAGTACAAGTTATGGAGCTCCTCATTATGCAGGTTTCTCCAGCCTTCTGTCACTTCATCTCTCTTTGACCCAAATATTCTCCTCAACACCCTGTTCTGAAACACCCTCCATCTGTGTTCCTCCCCTAATGTCAGAGACAAAGTTTCACACCGATACAGAACCACAGGCAAAATTATAGTTTTGTATAGTCTAATTTTTATGTTTTTGGACAGCAGACAAGAAGACAAAAGGTTCTGGACTGAATGGTAGTAAGCATTACCCAAGTTTAATTTCCTCTTAATTTCCTCATCAATCAGGTTTTGATTTGTTATCGTTGTTCCCAAATATCTGAATTGTGCCACATTTTCAAAACATCTGTTTTCTATCATTATGTCATGATTTTGCCCTGCATTTTGGTCACAAGACAGCAACATATACTTAGTTTTCTCTGTGTTTACTTCTAGACCAACCTGCTTACTTGTGTCAATTAAAGTTTGTTTTTTCTTTATGGTATCTATATTATCACCCAGTGGATTCACATTGTCATCAGCATAGCCCAACAGTTGTTGTGTCCCGTTTAATTTCAGTCCCATTTGGTTTTTCTGGACCTTCGTAATGGCATATTCTAAAGCAAAGTTGAAAAGGAGTGGCGATAAAGCATCTCCTTGTCTTAGACCATTCTGGATAGGAAATTTGTCAGACAAATGTTTACCTACACGGACTTTACTATAAGTTTTGTTTAAACACATTTTAATCAGCTTAACTAGTTTCATGGGTATCCCAAACTCTGTCAGAATATTGTACAATACTTCCCTCCTAACTGAATCATAGACTTTCTTGAAGTCTACAAATAGGCGATGTACTGTCTCATTGTAGTCCATTTTTTTGTCCAATATGGTGGTTAGAAGTGCCCTGTAAATTTTCGCAACCACATCATCTCCATTAATATCCTGACATCTGAACTGGATTGTCAGACATGCTAACAGTATTGATTTTCAGTAACTGTTAAGAATTTGTAATTTCTGTCTGCATAGTGGCATGCTTTCTGAGCTCTTTGCTTTGAGCATCTTCACATATCTGCCCATTCATCCACCAGACCTTGTTGCATTCCTGACCCCTTTGGTGGACAGATGAATGTCACAATGCCATATGTGCCCAGAAAGTAGCTCTGAGTTTCCTCAGCTCCTACCTGCCAGTAGAGAACTTACAGATTATGGGGTTTTTAGACTTTGTTCATTGTATTGTATTCAAAACAACATGTTTGGGAAACTGGGTCTGTTTACAGGATAGGGAACACCTACTTTGCATGGTTCATTAGGAAGAGCTAACTTCATTCACTGGACCAGAAATGCCTTGCTGGTGACATGTTGAAAAATTTTTGAGGAACATCAACTATTACAGGAAGTCTGTATAGAGGGACCTTAAAGGATAATATCCTGAGATTTACATCTCATCAGGAAGGCTATATGTGTGTAGTGTTTTCTTGTTTTGTTTTGTAATTGAATTTTCAGGTAAACTAATTTCCACAAGGAATTGTATTTACTACTAGTTGTAGAAGTAGATTCTAAGGGGTTCTGGTCCAGCGATTGAGGTTACCTTTTCCTAACGGATATAGCAGAGTAGGTATTTTCCACCCCCCCGCCTGAGGACTGAAGCAGATCCTATTTCCAAAACGTTGTGTTCTTTAGAATACCAAACGATAGAAAAGCCCCAAAACTCAGTAATCCTGAGTGATATATAATGAGAACCCTATAGAATCTAATGGAGAACTTAATTTCCATGTGAAGGCACATTTGCCCCAACACAACAGGTACGCATTACTCATTACAGTTCCCTAACTTGTTGGTGTGTGCTTTGACATCTTCCTTCAATGTTTTCACATATGCTTGCTTCATATTATTCCCTTTCATCCATTCTGGCCAACGTGTGACCATCGACTTGTTAGACTGAGAGTTGAAACACATGTAGTCGCATATTGTCACCGTTTTGCTGAACTCTCAGCCACTAATGGAGACTATAGGGCTTTGTATGCTGAAAGGTTGTTTGTTCAAGGTTTGGCTGATGGTGCCTTTATGTATGGAGTATTTTCCTATCATCTTCATGGTGCATTATCATCTCTTTTGCACTGACTCTCTCAGTTCCTTGTAGATCCTCCTTGGACAGGCACAAGACCATGCAGTTGCAGTGGAGATTTACGTGAAGTGATCTATTAGAATAAGTGCAGGAAATCAGTTGACTTTATATGCCTGACAGTGAGGTTGCCATTGCAGCAGCCAGGGAGGCTGTCATGCATGGGGTTTGTCATTTGAATGAGCTCTGGGCATTGATGATTGCACTTGTCTTGTTAATGTAATATTAGTGTCATAGTTTCAGAAACCATCTTTTTAGACCATTATCAGCAATTAATAAGCTGACTGTTGTGTTTGCAGGCAATATTTATACAGACAGCTGTCATCTGCCTCAGTCTGGACCAGATGGGGAACAGTGGGTGGAGTCAGTCTGACTGGCAGATGATAGCATTTTCTATAAATATATAGAGTGCCCAGAATGAGTGGAAACTGCATAATGCCACAGGTAGGCCAGCTTATTATTCAGCCTTACCCTGCAAACCTTCTGCTACTTCTGCTCAGTACCAGAAGAGATATGCACAAAACTGTATTCAGAACCACTACTACAATATCCACTCCTGTTCTGTGGCTTGAAACTTATTATTAAAGTAGTACAAGAAATTGAGAGGTAAAGTGAGAAGAAATCTCACCACATGTTACGGAAAATGCTCATGTTACCGTCAGCCGTTAAACACATTAAACACATCGCACATCTTTGAAACACACTGAAGTTCGTGAGCTCAAATTGAAGCCATCGTATCCCATATCTTAGTTTGGAGAACTTCAGCATTTCAAGGTGTGTTCATTTACACATTTCCTTTTACATGCTCAGGATAAGAGAAAACGTGACAGTGCTGCAGGTAGGCTGGCTGTGCATTCGGCGTTACTTCCCATCCTTCCTGCTAACTGTAGGGATACAGTTCCAGGAAATGTATGGTCAAAGTTGTAATTGTGCACTCAGTTCAAGATTTTTGTCTTTTTTTTTTTATAACCATTGATGTGCACTAAAGAACAGAGAATTTTTATCCTTGAAGCACACATATGAAGGAGGGGGAATTTTGTCTTCAAATACCCTGACTCACCTGTGGCTACAAAACCTTTTATGTCCAGACTTATTAAGAAATGGTGGACCACAGGGTCAGTGCTTAATAAAACATGATATCACAAGGAAACTGTACTGGTAGATGAGCTTGACATTCAGGTGCAAATACAGATTAACCTTTGGACATCTCTAAGATGATTGTCACAAGAGACAGGTGTGTCTCAAGGCTCTGCTCTGAAGGCAGCTGAATAAAGCTCATCCATGTGGAGACGTGGATGAGTTTAAATCTGTTGATGCCTCCACAAAGGATTCAGTTTTGTAACTGGATGCTGAAAAATGTGCACAGTGGACTTGTGAATCCCCACTCAGCTGCTGTTCATAACTGATGAAGCATAGCTTTGCTTAAGCAGTTATGTAAGTTCTCAGAACCCATGAATCTCTGGCACGCAGTAGCATAATTGGTTAAGCACGGTCCTACACTTTATTAAAAGTGTAGGATTAAGAAAGGGCTAATCAAAGGGAAGCACAATAGATCATTGAAGGTCGCAGTGCGGGGGCCAGTTTTTATGGCCCACCCCTTACATACATACATACAAAGCATGTTTGAGGCACTATGCTACAAGCTGGGAGGTCGTGGGTTCAAGTCCTGATGAGTTCATTGGATTTTTTCACTTGACCTAATCCTTCGAGCCGCACTGTGGCCCAGGAGTCAACTCAGCCTCTAACAAAAATGAGTACTAGGAATATTCTTTGGGGTAAAGGGCGGCTGGCACGTAGGGCTGACAACCTTGCCACCATCTGTGAGCTGATTGTCTAGAAAATGTGGGAGCATCAACATCTCACATCCCTGTGGGCCTCCATGGTCCGTTGCAGGGATACCTTTACTTTTTACCCATAAATCCGGAGTGATGAAACTCCACACACAGTTCACCTGATTCCACTATATGACAAGGACTAGAGTAAGGCGTGCTGTAATTGCTATGTGAATCGGTCCAGTGTTCTGTAACAAAACCTTGAACTTGGACTGCTACTGCACAAAATTATGAGGGCGTTACAGGACGTGTTCAATGACAGAATCATTAATGCAAGTTTATGGCCTCCAGCGTCACCAGATATTAGTGTCTGTGACGTCTATTTGTGGGGAAACCTAGAAGGAAAATTTACACTGCCTAGCCACTTTGACCATTTTCTGTAACATCTGATGAGTTTTCTCCTCATTTTACCCTTTTGTTTCTTGTGCTACTTGAACAGAAGGTTTCAAACCGAAGAATGTGGGTGGGTATTGTAGGAGTGGTTAAAAACACAGCTTGTTGCATGCCTCTTCCTTGACTGACTGACCAACTTCGAGCTAATGGAAGGTGTGATACATAAGGCTGAATAAGCAGCTGGCCTATGTGCACTGTTACAAAGTTTCTTCTTATTCTTAGCATTCTGTAGTTTCAAGCACAACACTCGTCACAGCAACCCCCTGATGATGGAGACAGGGACAGTCTTTGGTATGTTGGGCACTTAACTCCACATTGACACACTAGATTTCCCAAGAAAACTTAATTGTATACCATCACCCTGAAAGTTTCAAAACTTATTCTGTTTATGTATAGCAATCACCCTTAAGTTTTATGAGGAGTGAGGAAGTTATGCACATGTGGATTGTCAGAGTTGCTTGACTTGCGGACATCTGTTGCACTGTGCGCTGACACCAGTTTGTTCATTCTGTGGAGAACCCGTTAAGGGTTCTGCCTCTCACCTAATTCATACTACAAGATAAGGAACACCATGCCTTCCACCTTTTGGCACACTGCACAGCATCCTTGGAGATTATTATTGTAGGATGCCAGATGTATTCTTGAGTGGTATTTGGCTGTCCAAGTAAGTTTTAGCTTTTGAGATTTTATGCCATTTTTAAGACTTATGTCATTTACGATATTATATGGATTTTAGGATCACCGTGTCAGGTCCGTACAGCGTGACATTTTATTATGAATTTTAATGTCTAATTATTGAGATTCTCATGTTTTTTGACTCCCAAGTTATTGCTTGATCCATTTACAATTGGTTGACAATTTTACTTTTCTTTCTGAATGAGTTTTTTAAGTTTTGTTTTTATGGAGTTGCAAATGTCCTTGTATTAACCTCCCCATGCTCCTCCAATCCCTCACAGACGCATTCACACCCACACAAACTGTACCGCTCTCTGGTCAGACTGCTTCCTTGCCATTTCTCATATAAACCAGTTCAACTGATATGGGATAAAATTAAATGAGAACTTGCTACTCAGTAGTGCTTCTAATTGAGAAGTTGGCTGGAACAGAAACTCCTCTGACTTCCATTTGGGAAGATCTGGTTTGGGACACTGATGTCATGACAGGATTTTTGTTTTCTGCAGTTCCTGCAGGCAAATGGCAAGAGTACGTCCAGTTGGGCCACACCTTCCATCAACATTCTTTCCATTTTTAGTCATTAATTATTTTCTCATTCATTGGACTCACTAAACAAACTAAATAAAAAAATACATAAGTAACACTTTTAATGTGTTTCATGTTGAAAGATTCATGAACAAACCATTTGACAGAGTCACTAAGGAGAACTGGATTTTACATGTCTAACGTGCAGAACATTTGCAGTAGGAAAAGTTTTATAAAGAAGTAACTTAGAATTAAGTTAGCAACACACCCCCATTAGTTCAAGAGAGAGATGTGATTATTCAGAATGAAAGGTGAAGAGAGTGAAGGCAATGATGAGCTGTTGGCTTTTCCATTGTGAAGTTTTGTGCTTATCTGTTAGAATATTCTTTTAACAGTTATCATAGTCTTGAGAACAAAAATTTAAATATGTATTAAAATTGTGTGCTTAATATTACATGTTTTCAGTTTCATTGCTCTGTGTATGTGAGAACATTCACGATTGTTCTTTCCTCTGTCACCATCTGGCAAGCGTCCAGCAACATCGTCATGCCATAATTGGCTTATCTCCATTTGCACAATGTTTTGCTATAGTTACTTTATTTACTGACAGACTTTTTAGCTGTATGAACAAAGTAAAATTTTTTGATTCTCCTTGGATTCATACTTCACAATTTGTACTCAGCTCCAGACACAGTGAGATCTTTTTTGAACACACTGCCAGAAGACTTGAATGATCCTCCCATCAAGCTGGGAAACCATAACATGGGAGTGCTGACTAGAACACCCACAGTGTTGTTACAGTGATCTAGTGAAGGAACATGAGATGGGTAGTACACATAGCATGAAATTGGAAGGTGATAGGTACATACTGGGTTTTAATTTGAAATTCTGAAAGGAAGAGTGAACTTGGAAGACCTAGACATAGATGGTAGGATAATATTAAAATGCTTTTTAAATAAATGGATTGGAATGGCGCAGGAAAGATTCATTTGGCCCATAATTGGGACTAATGACAGGCTGTAGTGAATACAGTAATGAACCATCAGGTGCATGAAAGGCAAAGAATATCTTGAATAGCTCTCTCTCTGCCTTGCAAGGTCTCTTTCACACACACACCTAAGTCTGAAGGCAAGACAGGGTTTGTTGGGATGCACTCACAGGTGTAATCGTGATGTATTGTTGGCTGCTTGTCTCAAGGGAAGTCCATCACGGTTAAGATATTGTCACGTGGGGTGGTAATGTGTGACAAAATTAATGGGTTCTCATTGGATGATTGGATTTATTTACACTTCGGCTACACTCTCTCTCTCTTAATTAAATTAGTGCAGTGCTGTTGCTGTTTCTACAAAGTCCTCTCCTGTTAACACAATTAAAACACAGGAACAGACGCTTCAAATCACTGCATTACAGCGCACACAAGTTCTTCAATATCCATTAACACTTCACAGTTAAATCCTCACAACTCCTTTCTGTGACAGCTTTGTGTCTTTGACTTATAGGTTCTCAGCTGTGACTAGCTACAATTTGTAACTGCCCTGAACTAAACTTGCATCTGAATTCACTTCTCTTATAAGCACTCTGCACAGACCCCATGGAAAACACCTATTATTGTAGACGTATTTACAGTTATGTTGCTTAGAAATGGATTGCATAACACTGTTGTTCTATTTTTGTATAACCTAGCAATGGACTGTTTACCAAGAATTTGTCTTCGTGAGAACTCATTTACCAGGTCATTGCTCAGCATTGGGTGTATACAGGGTGTTTCACGACTTTAGGGCATAACTTCAGGAGGTGATTTCCTAGGTCTTTTTGACCTAGGAAATTACCTCCTGCAGTAATGCCCTAAAGTCGTGAAACACCCTGTATCAATATTGTACTCAAGATGACAGTCAATAAAGAATGTGTTTGGCTAGCTTAACTCTTGTAGTATACAGGGCATTCAATTGGGATGGAGACATGCCAGTTCTTACAACTTGGCAGTACTCAGAATTACTATCTGACAAAATAAGTTGCATA